GCCAATGGTGAGTCCACTCATTACCTTCTAATATCCTGTTACCTTACACTTTCAATTTGGGAATGGTCTTTTTCCTTGTTTGAGTCGAGGTGTGTCTCCCTACCAAATGTTCAAAAGCTGTTTGACCCTACCTTTGTTAGCTGGCAAAAGAAGAGGGGAAAATACTATGGAGATGTTTAAGGGCTGCAGTTTGTTGGACTATTTGGGAAGAGAGAAATCAAAGGCTGCTTGAAGGCAAAGAAAGAAGTTTGGATCATTGGATGCTCTAATTGAAATCATTACAGTTAGGGTGATCCATTGGGTGAAAACTTTAAATCTTTTTGGTGGTATTCCTGCAGTAGAATTGAGGAGGAAGTGGGGAGAAGTGGCTGAATCTGAGCCATTGAAAGAGTTAGTTGTACCTACTTGGTCTCCCCCTACTAATGGTTTCATCAAGCTGAATTTTGATGGTCGCAGTGAAGGAAATCCTGGACCTTCAAGTATTGGAGGTGTTTTTAGGGATGAAGATGGCAAAACGGAGGCTCTTTTCTCTGCTCCCATTGGTGTTGGAGACTCTTTAAAAGCAGAAATCCTTGTTGTGTTGGAAGGAGCCAAGAGAGCCAAAGAGTTTAACCTTACTAAGATTTTAATAGAAGGGGATTCTAAGCTGGTTATTGGCTGGCTTCAAGAAGAGGAGGAGAGGGGATGGTGGACTTTCATAAATGAGAAGGAAATTTAGATACTTAACACAAGGAATGGAGGTCAAGCTGAATTGGTTTAAGTGAGATGCCAACTCCATGGCTAATGCTTTAGCTAAACAAGGGGTGGGAAGAAACTCTAATTTTTGGGCTATATTGTAATTCATTTTATGGCATCTATCTGGGGGAGTTAAGAGAGTTTATCTTCTCCTTTTTGTATCTTCCTTTGGCTTAATTATTAATGAATTTCAGTTATTGATCAAAAAGGAAGTGAGAAATGATGTAACAATTTAGCAATGGATATAACAAAACAGAATTGCAAAACAAGATTCATGTAACTAACCCTGTATAATTGGGACAAGGATTAGATAAATGGTGGTGATAATTCTTTTGATAAATAATTATGATGTTAACATGAAAAAGTGGTTTCCAACTTACACTTGGTGTTCTGTTCGAAGCCTGCTCACATTCTTCAGCTTTTGTACAGGGATAGAAGCAGCTTGTGGAGTCAAGGCAACTAAAGCCTTAGACAGGTCACCATCCTGCAGTTCAATTTTATTCTCTTGTATGTAGTTCTGCAGGTTCAGTGTGAACTCTTCAATGTTGAGTTTGATAACTGGAATTTCATCAGGATCCTCAAAAAAAGCATCCTCAATGTCACTTTCAATCACTTCTGTACGTTCTGGCTCTGGTGTTGCTGGCACTTCAATGATAGGTTCACAGATGTTCCCTTCAGTGATTGTTGTTGGTAATGGGCTTGCCTCTGGTAGAGGTAGTGGTACTGGATTTATACGCATCTGTGGACCTTGGTCATCTGCAATGGGTGCAGTTGAACTTACTAGACCTTTCTCTTCTGGCCCTGGCAGGGCAAGCCTTGCACTGCATCCAACGCCATCCATTAGTCATCTTGTTTATTAAAAATATGAAATGCACTTAAGTTTTCATAATCATTTATTTATTTTTTTGATCAATTGGTAATAAACCAATTTTATTGATTATATAAAAGGAATTTATGCATATACAGGTTTGTTCCAGTCACCCCTCATGGTACAACAGGCTAGAAAAGCCATGTCACACTCTTTGGCCTTCATATTACATTCCCCCAGTACAATTGAGTCTTTTGCACCACTTGTCTAGCTAACCTATCAACTAGACTGTTAGCTGATCTTTGAACCCAAGTATACCTTGTACCTACTAACCCTGCCAAGTACTCTCTCTCTCTCATTGGGTCATAAATGCAGATTTTATACTGCTGCTTTATTTCTCTCTAAATAATGCAATAACTCAGATGATCATATGACCATCTGATTGATTTGCTTATTGGGTTCAGATCCATCGATTAGTGAATTGCAGGGGAAGAAGGGAAGCTCAGTAGTCATTTTCTACTGGGTGATCATGTTGAAGGGGTTCTATAAGTTTAGGGTGAACCACAAAGGACAAAGATCAACTTGATTCAATGATTATATATGTATTTTGTACAGCTGCATTTGTTTCTCTAAAATGATGCAATAGATTCAATGATTGTATAATTATTGGATTGATCCAGTTATTAGGAATATATGACCTCTCCTGTTGGGAACATTTAGTGGGTTCAGATCTATCCCATGTTTGAATAAGAGGATGCCTGATGGTATGGTTGTTGGGAGGGGGTTAAGCAGGCATTGTCAGTTACTAGAGGATGGCAATGGAATTTGATCTCAGATCTGACATACTTGGTTGTAAACATCTAAGCTATGGTAAAGTAGATAATATAGAACCTTGCAAATGCACTTGCGAAGTGTCTGCATTCTGTTCTCATTGGACATGCATTGCAGTTTGGCTTGCTTTTAGTACAAAAAACCTGCACAAAACAAATCATGGTATCCCTTTATTCTGCTTGCAACTAATTACAAGTTGAGGAAAGAAATCATGTCATCTTTCTTTGAAGTGCCATATTGTACCTTTCCAAATGTAATCAATTGATAATGTAATTCATACCTGTAAAGACACCATAAAGTAAATTAATGACAGATTTCTTTGGTCTTTGGATCCATAGTTTCTGGTGCCATTGCTAGTTTATATAATTTACATACGAAATACTTGCAACCTTAATGAATGTAAACAACAGTAAGGATTAATTCTGGAATTACAATGTTCGTTGATCAAGTTTGCATAGACGAGGCCAAAGATACTTCTGAATTGTCTCCAGCACTGGGTACCTGTGCAGGCCCTTGAAGATTAGCATGTTCATGTGATGAAAATTTTCAATATTTTTGATTGGTTAGCATACAAATACTTACAGTTCTAGAAGATGTAACTGAAGTGACTCAGGCAGTGGTTGGAGTGGAACCCATCCAAGTCTTACAGCTATGCGACCAACGTTTGTGTCAACCTTGAGGGAAAAAAGTGTGAACCTTATTAATGACAACAGTAGAATGTTCAGTTGAAGGTTTGGTTTTTCATATATTTGCCTTATACAACAAGTACTTGACAACATAAATCTTACCGGAAAAGCAAGATTGTGAAGTGTCAGAAGGCGTACGCACTCCACACTTTTCAACCCTAAGCCTCTTATGCTTAACAAATATTCCCTATGAGCAATAAAACATTTTAAAAATTATAGAATATATAGAACTTAGTACACTATGTATCATACACAGTTGGCTGTTTATGATGGATTAATCAATTTGTTGACCTACTATGATTTTTCAACTCATGTTTTCAAGGAGGAAGTACGTCTACGCTTACTTTGCTTTGTCAGGTGGAACATCTCTTAACCACTCAAGATCAATGCTTCCATGATCTCTAACCAGTCGATTGAGGAAATCCTGCACAAATTATGCTGACCGTAGTTAGATGATTAGACCTATTATGACTAATAAAAAATTCAAATTGATGGATTCAACTGAAGAAAATAATATTGTGATTTCTTTTCTGCACATGTATGATGCAATTCACCTTTATTCTCTCTGCAAGCATATTGTTCATTCCTCGTTCTTTGATGGATTTAGCAATATCATTAACATCTGCACATCTCACTGCTTCCCAGTCCACTGAGTCCATTGTATCATTACTTCTCTCTCTTTTTCCATGTTTGGCACAAGTCTCCTTTCTTAAAATATCCCAGTCAAATGCATTATTTTTCTTCTTCTCAACTTTTTCCTTCTTGTCTTTCATTGTGCCCACAGTTATCCCACTAGATGTTTTTCCAGAAGCACGCACTTGCTCTTCTGAGTTTAACTTTGCTGTATTACTGTTCATGGGTTTCAGTTCACCCACCAAGCATGTTCTTTCCACAACGTCAATAGTATCCCCAGAAAAACTTGTTGATCTAGAAACTTGCTGCATTATGGTATTCTGCTGCCTTTGAACAAGTTCATCAAGAAGCTTTTTAGGTTCTGCATTAGGAGTCCTTTCTGCTTGGGAGGTTTCTGTCCTCTCTTTTTTATTTTTGTAAGAGTGTGGATTCTTTTCTCTGCAAGCTTCTGGTTCTAATCTACTGAATTGGTGCACTGCATGCTTGCTTAAAGATCCATTTGGGTCAGCTCTTGGTCCTGCATGAGCACTTAATATCTCATTTTGTAGAGCTGTTGTTTCACTTAAAGAATCTGGAATTGGTCCAAATCCTTTGCTTGTGATGTCTGCGCTATTTAACTCAGAAATTTGTGACACAGTTGAAGGCAAGGAAGGTCTGCTTTCCTCACTTAACAGGTCAAGACACTCAACTTCAAGTACTCCTGAATCTGGTGTCATGTGCAAACTATATTTACTGGAAGGGATAATGGGTACTTGTGTATGGGGGTGAAGGGAATTGAACTGGTAGATGGATGCAAATGAGGTTTCCAAGCTAGCTAATCTGTCCATACTTGACTTTTTCTTGTCAGACTCCATATTTTTTGATTGGTTACATCCATCCATGGAGTTTAGATTAAATGACAATCTGTCATATCCATAGTTGTAAAATTCTTGAAACCTGGTTGTTCCTGCCATCTGAAGAAGCTCCATAAAAGAAGTGGTAGCATTGAAACCAATAGATCTGTGAACTGTTGTTAGATCTTTTGAGTTGGACTCCAAACATGATCGAATCCTTTCAGTGGTCTGAGAAATGGATGTGCCTACAGAGTTTTGAGATGAAACTGCATCCTCCTGTGCCCTTCTATCATCTGCTTCTGCAAAACTCAGAGATCCTTCTTTTCTGGCCAGGCTCTCTGTTCTGTTTTCTGGTGATCCCTGGTACAATTCTGCTGCCCTGCTCTGGACAACTCTCTGCCTGCTACTTGAATTGTCTGCCAGGCTGTCACCTCCCATATTGCTTCCAAATGATTCATTGCTGTTTGCCACTTCTCTCTCTTCCATTTGCTCAGCTTCATGGAGCATCATGGATTTTTGATTGTAGACTGGTTTTCTTGACAAATTTTCATTCCATTTCAGGGTTTCATCTGAATCTATTATGCACACCTCTGGCTTTTCTGTTAATACAACTGTCCCATCCTCATAGCATGTGTTCCGGCTATTTGTTGGCTGAAGCGGAAATCGTGCAGCCAAGGACATGAAGGCAGAGCTGCAAAGCAGAAAGAAATGAGAGAGTTTCTCTATCAGAGTGTAGAGGACACTTTATTCTAAGATCTACTTTGGTAAACAGGCTTACCTGGAAAGATGGTCAGATACATTCTGGGTAAGAAAGACGCCAATCACTGAGTCCACAACAGATCCTTTCCACCGTGAAAAGCGTCTATCTCCTGTGAAGAGTTTTGCCTTACTGTTAGTAAATATATGCAGAAGGTACAAGCTCCGGTATCTGCTAGAAGTAATTAGGTATTTGAGATCTTAATATTTCTATTATTTGTTCCTCTTGTTTTTAATATGTCGAATTGGTGTCTCTAGATTCACGCTGTCATATTTTGATTAAGTAAATGAAAATTTTATTGTATTATATGTTTATGTGAAAATACAAAAAAGATCCATATCCCAAAGTGCTTTAAAGCATTCCACACTCTACACCCAAAGCATTCTGCCAATTAAAGGCAATCTTCATGCCTAAAAATCTTGAATTCATTAGGAATAAGAGTCCAATCCATTGGAAATGAACTCAAGCATTAAGACAATCTTTTGGATGCAATCTGATCTAAATCTAATACATAAAATTCAGATCTAATCCATTTATATTATGACAATTATAAGTCCATGTGATCGAATGTGACCAGACCCAAATTTGGAAGTAATGGATTTTCCTCTACACACAAGTCTTTTGAGAGGCATCCGAAATCCCATAAGAATATTCTTGATATTCCTTCTATTCTGTCAAGTTTAAAGGGAAAGTCCTTTGATAGGGGATGTTCAAGGATTAGGGTAAACTGAAGGGAGGTTCTAGTATTTTTCTTAGAAAACTTGGGAGTTAAGGATTCTTCATTTTTTATTTTGATGCAGCTTCCTATTTTGTATCTGGCACGCTAAATCTGTCTTCATTCACTCATTGAGGCTATTGAAATACTACAGGTGCATCTATTTGACTCCAAGTTAGCTATCCTGAAATATTATTAGAGGAGACATACCAGTGAAAAAAGAAAAACAGCTAATGCAGCTGATTTTGTATATATTTGAAAGCTTGTCAAACACATATTTCTTTGGTGTCATTGTGGTACCTTGGACAAGACGCATGCGATGAATGAACGAGTCTGCCCTTCCTTGAAACACTGTCCTTTCTTTTTCCCACCATTTTCTCTTATCTGCATCCATTTCATCAATATCATCACTGACTGCTTTCCCCATCAGAAGATTCCATACTCGATTTGTCTCTGGGTCGAGGTCAACTTTGGGCCGGGAGCGGCGTCTTGGCCCTTCATAGGGAACCATTGTGCCATATCCAGTGTAAGGAATTAGTGCTTTTTGCTCTTTCTCTGTATTTGTGCTGCTACTGCCATTAATGCTTAGATCATTCAATCTGTGAACAAGTTCATCTATTGAAATGATTTGAGTATGTGTTCCAGCTGTTGGACCTGCATCAAATGTGCCATATATCTTGTTACTGCTACTACAATTATTATAAAATGGATTTGCTTCAAAGAACATGGGGGAAAGTACCTGCTGATTTGGCCAAGGATTGGTACAAAGAACCCTTTTGTTCTTGCAACCACCCTGCATTTGTGCTGGAGCAAGACGTTGAATCATTGAGAGATCCCTTCTTAGCTCGTCTTTTTCTGATACTCTTTTTATTGTTATCTGAAGAGAGGGCTTTCATGCAAGCTTGATGTCCATGGAAAATCTCAGTTCTTTGCCCATCACCAGATGTCAGTGTTTTAGGAGTGTCTTGCAGCAGTTGGGTGCAATGAGGAATTGCAGTTGAGACCAAGTTGTGAACCTCATTTGGACCCTTGGATCTCTTTTTGGTCTTTTCTTTGAGGTCAAAAGTTTCTGAAGTTTCCAGATTATCAATGGCAGCCCCACATTCTGTTTCTGTGCATGAAAGCAATTCTTTGGAGATATTTTGCACAGGTTGATTGTGCTCCACAACAGTACAATTAGCATAGACTTTTGGTAGAGATTTACTAACTCCAATCTTTGGCCTCTGTGTGCCATCATTGAGTTGGAGGCCCAGTGTTTCATGGTTACTCTGTGATGCATGTTTGTGACCGTCTTTTGTGACTACCATAGAAGATGAAGTTCTAGATGTGGAAGTATTAGGCTCCTTCTCAGTCTTGTATTTTTTGTAAATTTCTGGAAGATGCATCCCATAATTGCTTTGGAGTTCATTTCCATGAAGTATATTTTGGTAAAATTGTAAGGAATTGTAATGGGTACCAATCAGATTTATTTTTCTTAGATGTGCCCCATTTATAGTATGAGAATATTCCCTCTTTGAGCCCCTTGTTTTTGTGGTATCAGTAACTAGTGGATGCGCACCATTATCAGGATGATCACAACTTTCTAGTATTGATTGTGGACCATTCTGTGATGTTGATTGTATAACTCCCTCTTGGTTAGAAGGGGTAATCCCTATCTTTAAGACTGTATCACCTGTGCCTTCTCCATGTAAATGTTGATGCTTAAAATGATGACCATTTTCTCCAGTACTTGGGCTTGCACTTGCTGCTCTTGTGTCATTTTTTTTCCTTGCAAGGGCCTTCAGATTCACCCTTGTTGGGTGTTGCCTTGCTGGTACTGGGGTTGTAGGGGCTGGATTTTCAGGCAGCGAAAAGTAGTTCTGAATCAGTTGATTCACAGAAGAGTCCAGGTCATGTGCAATCCCCCCTGTTGTGTTATTTACTGTGGCTTCAATACCTTGCCTGGGCTGCACTGTAGATTTTGTTTGAGAGTCATTGTTCACCTGGATGCCTAAGTCTTGCTTTTGAGATTCTGAGTTCAAATTAAGAGTCTGCCTACATGATGAGTTGTCCTTGCCATGAAAAATTACCTCCTGATGAGAGAGTGATGTGCTATAGCTATGCATTTCGGCTCCTGCTTGATCCACCAAATCAAAATTTAGAGCACGCTTGCATGATTTTACAGAAGGCTCAAGTGATGGGCCATTGATCTCCAATACTGTCTCTGAAGGGGTGTCTGAGGTTTTGAGGCCCTTCCTTCTTACATACTTCCGCTTCCCAGATGGGTTTTCTTTTGTACTGACCTGCTTAGGAGTTGTTGGCTTTGGTGTCCTTTTGGGTTTGCCTTCTATTATGACTTTGGGTCTAATCTTTTTCCTTTTTGGCTTCTGTTGGGGTTTCTTGTTCAGATCAATGTAGTCGTCACCTCCCTTATCAAGATTGTGATTTTCCACAATTCTATGGTCTCCTCCCTTGCTATAATTTTGATTTTCTTCCAACTTGTTGTCACTTCTCTTGCTATGATTGTGATCTTCCGGAATGTTGTGGCTATTTTCCTTGTTAAGATTGTGATTTTCCTCTAATGAGGCAACCAAGGGAGTAGAAGGCATACCCAGCATGGTTTGTGGAAATTTTTCACCACCAAGCTCTGTAGGTTCATTCCCATTTTGTGTAACTAGCGCCTTATCCTTTTCCTTATTAGACCTTTCTTTTACTGAGATACTGGGTATTTCAGAAAGCTGTTCGTTCTGAATTCTGTTGCCCTTATCTGGTGTTACTGGTGAAAAGGACATAACTTCATCCAAGGTGTCATCTAGTGTTCTATTAGGTAAGGCATTAAGATCATAGGAGGGAAGATAAGGAACAGGAAACCCATCTGTAAAATCACAACTCTACATTTTCATTAGTCAGAAGAAAACTATAACAAGAATTCAACAATTTAGATGCAAGCCACCAAGGAGTATTTCTTTCAATATGAGATGGGAAAATCTCAGGCATTAAAGAGGAAAAAAAGTAGACACAGTTACTCACACTGTGGAATTTGTTGCGGATAGTTGTTATTCCAGTGGTTTGATCTGAGTGATAAGTCCTGGTTTGCAAGCAACAAGGTAGCGGAGTTGGATTCTCCTCGCCCAATGTTAGAATACTGGATAGGAAACAAAAGGCTGCTTCCAGCATTGTTGTTCCCATGCTGGGGGGCACCTGCAGAAGTTGCTGAAGCCGGGGTTGTGAAAGCCAGGAGGTTCCCAAAAGAAACATACTGCCCACATGCAGAGGTATCCGCTAAAGCCTGTGTGTGAGTGCCAACCATGCGAACAGAACCTCTGCTATTCCCAGCCAATGCCGCCTCCCAATTGTTGAGACTTCTATGCTGATCCATAAAATGCATCGAACCATAGCATGCAGCCAACTCATTTGAAATTGAAGTCTCCTGGAGAGCAGGTAGGTGACCTAGCGTCTGTAGCCAGTTTGATCGATCTAGCTGGTTACCCTGAGTGTTGCCGGAGGTTGGCTGCGGTCTCGTAGGAACAGGCTTTGCAGGAGTTACCGGAATCCAGGAGCCGCCCTCGTTCGGAAATTCTATATCTCCTGGAACCGAGAACTCCTTGCTGAAGTCCATTTCTTCTGTAAAAATCTATCCTTTTCCTCTGTTTTCAACTGGCCTCAAGCAAGACCAGAGTTGCAACTCTGAAAGCCCCGTCCACGAGCCTGTAACCACGCGTTTTTACTTTAAGATATTTTGTAATCCGGCAGCGGAACCTGCAACCAAGGAACAAATTAGTGGCGACTCTGTGACCAGTTCGAGTGAAGAGCAACTCCCACCACGAGCCTGTATCCAGCTCTGGTGGTACTACTTGTGCTTATCCAGATCCGGCAGTGAGTTGTGACCAGATCCCGTTGGAGCCTATTCTTACATTCAGATCTGGCGACACTGCTAGCTATTGCAAGTCCAATTGCTGGACCTGAAGTCCATTTCTTCTGCAAAAAATCTTATATTTTTCCTCTATTTTCAACTGGCCAACGTTGTAATCTTGCCCGGAAGCTCCAATTTTCTGCTCCGATGTAAATTCTCTAGAAAATTAAAGATAGCCTCTTAAACCCTTCTCGATTTCATACGCCATTGTCCAAATATATCCTGCCAAAACCCCAATTACAATCCACATTCACATTCTTAAACAAAAAAACCAAATTTTCTCAGAAACCCAGATCAATTAGCGGCAGAAGAAAAAAGAAAACAGAAAAACAGCCCCCTTTTAGCTGGAAAAGAGAATACTAACCGAGGAAGAACGAAATACCACCAAAATTACTTTGAGAGCTAACAGATCTCTCTCAGCATGCAGGTCAACCCGGTTCAACTGGTGGAAAGCATGCAATCCTACTTGCCCAGAATATCGCAGGAGAACTCTATTCAACAAGCTTACCATCATGATCATATAATATCATCCACAGAGTATTTCCATGTATGTTGATGGCTCTTTTGTTTGACTCAGAGCCTGCTGGAACTGGTTGCATTATTTTAACAAATGAGAACCTGGTTCTCTGTGCAGGAAGCAAAGGACTGAAAAGCCCACCATTCAGCATGAAGGACGCCAGAGCTGAAGTCCTTGAATGAGGTCTCGTTCAGGGCGTTTCAATGACTGAAGTGGCTGAACTGAATGAGTTATTGCATTGCCTTTTATTACGTTGAGTAGGTTAATGAGCTCCTTCTGGCTGAACGACTTGTTAGGTAGAATATCCATTAAAAGACAAAGCAATAAATCATTCTGTTAAGCTTCTTTTAACTCTATTACCATTTACCAATCTCTTAATCTAAAAGGTCCGTTTGGTTTTTTTGGAATAAGTGCTTGGAATTAGAATTCAACTGTTTGTTTAGTGGGAATAAAATTCCAATTCTCATTCTTGGTAAAATGAGATTCTCCCCTATGGAGGAGTGGCCATTCAAAGCTCCCCTACAGGGAATAGGGAATTGGATTCTCATTACAAAGTCTGTCTAGAGGTAAAGAATTCATGACAAAAAACCCCCAAACCCTAATATTAATATAATATAATAAAAGTTAATAATAAAATATCAAAATATTAATTATTAAATAATAATGAATTAATTTTAAAATAATAAAATATTAATAAATTAATATAAAATTATATAAAATAAAAAATAGACTAATGCAAAATCGAAATTTGCAGTTAATTTCAATTCTAACTCTAAATGAACCAAACAACAAGAAATCAAATTCCAATTCTGATTCCTAACTGAATCAAACAAATGTCAAGAATAGATGACTATGATTCTGGTCCCTAAGAATTTCAATTCCAATTCTGTTCGCGAAGCAAATGAACCCTAATTAACATTCATGGCCCACCTTGTATGATAGTCTTTTTCATATATATCCCCACCTTGACCACAATCTGTTTGTGAAAAATCATCCGAGAATGGCTCCAACACTCGAATTAATAGGATGAATGACGTTATTGATGTGCTTCTTTTCTTCTCTCATTCTTTTTAATTGACTCAGCTTTACTTCAACCGTAACAAGCTAGTTGTCGTTATATAATTGCAACCAACTCTTGACTGTGGAGAAGCTCAGTTGGGTGGTCCAGTAGAAATGGTCTCCTCCTCTTGCGTGTGAGTTGGAAGTGTTAATGTCAATTCAATTGGGTGGGCCCAATCAAATCAGTATTAACTATGAAGGTGAGAATGTGCAAAAAAATTGGCAATAGAAGCTTCCTTTTTTTATTTAATTTCATTATTCTGTTTCTCCCCATTATTGCTGTATTCATGAAGGCAAACTTATAAAAATAAATAAATAATGAGGGCAAGCTGGTAATTTAAAGTTTTCTATTTAAATTAGATTTTTCAGCAGCTGCTCATTCAATGAGAAAAAATAAATTTAAAAAAAATATATTTCTTCTACGTAAAGGACCAAATATCACAAAATGATTTTGGCAACAAATTTCTGTAATTTATCGAATTTGATAAGTATTTATTAATTCAATGTAATTCCCTAGGTTGTGTTTGTTTTGAAAGGTAGGAAAAGAAAGGGAAAGGTACCTCTACCTTTCCTTGCCTTTTCTTTTAAACCAAATACAGCCTTAAGGTTAAAAAAAAAAAAGAATGTTATGAGAAATATTAAGTGTTAAATAAAAAATAGTTACTCATTAGTTAACTTTCATGGTTGTCTTAAGAGTTCAGACATTTTTTAAGTAAGAGTTCAGACTTTATGGGCACAAAGACATAAGAGGGTTGGGTTCTTACATTTTGTTTCAAAAATTTCAAGAACTTTCCTTCAACTTTTCATTTTTGTCTTATTTATTATCAAAAAAAAAAAACAGCCCAATCTAACAGAGATTTTAGATTTTAATGGGAAAATGGGAAACAATAACATGGATTAACTTTAAGGTTATGTTTGGTTTGAAGGAAAAAATAAGGAAAGGAAGAGAAAGGTAAAGGAACCTTTACAAAGCTTGTATAGGTTTTCTTACCTTTCCCTACTTTTCCTTTCAAACCAAACACAGCTTTAGAGAATTCAAGGAGGGAAGGTGGGGGGGAGCTCCAATATGACATGCTTTTGGTGGGTTTAAGCTCTGGGCGAATTAAATAATAATTTTATTTACCATTATCATTTGCTTTCATCTTTTATCTTTGATAAAAAGAAAAAGCATGAAGAGATGGGAATAATAAAAGCCAGACCGCAAAGAAGGAAAGTACAACAACTTGATGATGGTAGCTTTACTCTCTCTCTCTCTCTATCCATGGATATGATCTCTCTTTGCCTCTGTCTATGAATATGATAGATCAGAAGACCACAAGCTACGTACGAAGGAATCTTATTAGAACAAACATTTTCTTGGAGTACCCCACGTTCTCTTGCAATTCCATTTCAGCCCTTTGATAAGAGTTTGGCTGGTTTGTCACCTCATATGTATTATCTATTATTCAGGATGGGTGTGATTCTTGATCATCAGAGATTCAAGCCTGACTTTACACTATGTCAGATTCAGGTTTCAAGTCAGATTCATTTAAATTTTAGCAAAAGCCAAGTTTGAGCTCGGCCTATGAACAAGTCTAATGATCACCATGGTCAATTTTTATTTGCCAGAGCAGTGCCTCTTCCTCTATTTGAACTTCTGCTAAGCCCTAGCACTCTCTAAAGGGCTCACTTTTTCCTTTGAAGTTGGAGTTACACACATTGCCATTGAAATTGGTTGAACCAGTTGATCTACTGTGATGTACAAGTGTTGTGTTTAACATTCAGATCTGCTACCTAGACCTACCCACAAGGCATTAGAGCGTACATTGGGAACATCTCCTCATGAATGATAATATAAAAGTTAGAACTTGCATCCGATTTAATTATTTGATAAGTTATGGAGTTAACTCCAAAATTTGAGCCTAATTAAAAATTAATTATTACTTTATATATATAGTACAATTATATTAACACATTAGATATTATACACAATTATATAAGGTTTATAATTTGAAATTTAATATTTTATATTCATATACATTTAACATACATGTTTAATCTAAAAGTAATTAGTCAATTTGTTTGAAATATTTTAATTTTTTTTTATCATTTAGGCTCAATTTATAAAGAATATTAATATAAATATATACAATACAAATACATACAAAATAATACAAAATATATTTATTGTATTTACACTCCTTCCATACATACAAAATAAGCCTTGAGAACAATAAGTTAGATGCGAGTAAAATCTAAATCCAATCCAAGTCCAACATATCGGATTTCATATCAGATCCAAATCAAATTGATTCGGTGTAGATGTAATCAAATTCAATCCGAATCCTATGTGGGTGGCAAATCATTCCCTTGCTTTTTCAATTTCCTATGTACCTTACTAAGTAAGATAATAAAATATCCCATCCATCTCTCTCTCTCTAAAACAAGATGAACGGGTCAAGTGCCGCTCATTTCTCCCCTTTCCCACCTAATCTCTTTCCTCCTTATACCCTCCCTAGCTCTAGCTCTCTCATGTTGTCATATCAGCAGCCATCTGTCTCTCCCTCCTTCACCTAAACGAACTCTCCTAAAATTACTATTGAACTGCCTCTCCCTTCTAAAGTACCTCCTAATTTATCTTGCTTGCCCAATAAATTATCTAATTTTAATGTCTCTTTAATTTCCCTTTCTCCTATCTTTCTCTCTATTTATCTATTTATTTTCTTTATATATTTATTCACCTTCCACACACATGCATTTAATTTTCCATCTATATATTAAAATATTAATGTTTAAGTTAAAACTTAATATTGAAATAAGATGAGTGAAAAATATTAGAAATAAGAGAAAAAATAAATAATACAATAAAAAAAATAATAAAAGTAATAAAATTTAATAATGAACTAACAATATTATTATAATTATAGTAGTGCCTTTAAGACCCCGTTTGTTTGTTAGTATTTAGTAGGTGTAAATTACTCAACCATTAACCACGATCCCCGTGTTCATCTCACCACTATATTGGGTCCCATAGTAAAAGACAATTCTAGAGAGTATCGGTTATAATCAATTGCCTAAGTAACTGATACCCTCCAGGAGGATAGGGTAAGCAAATTACCCGAGCTAAAATAACGCTCCCTCCCTCTCGTCTTTCCCTTTACCCAAGTAACCTGTATCACACAATAACGCTAGAACCTATCTTACCTGAGCAAGTTTTGCCTATGAAACACTTTCCTAGGTAAACTCATGTACCCAGGTAAGTCAAAGTGAACGGGGCCTAACACTATTCTGAATACCATCTTAAGGAATGAACCACATTCTGAATACGAGTCACAAAGAATTGACAAACTCGCCTCTCATTTTTGGGTTCTAGGTTCTGGTTTTTTGTCATAGAATTTAGGGCAATATTGGTATTATGAAAGTATTTAGAATAAGATATTAACAACTCTAAATGGGTGCACTAATAATGGTACTATTTATGTTATGTGGGGCAAACCTACAAGGCATGTATAAGTTGTTTCTAAAAATTTAGGGCCCACCCACTGTTTGGTTGGGTAGAATTAAAAACTCCATTCCCATTCCTGGTGAAATAACATTCCCCTATTTGAGGGTATGGCCATTCACCTCATGTGAGAATAAAAATTCCATTCCAACTAATTTCAATTCCCATTTTGATTCCTATATGAACCAAACAGATTATGAGAATAAACCATTCTGATTCCAACTACTAATCAAACGGACCGTTAAAATCATTTATTACTACTCTTCCCCATGTACTTTTTGTCTACCTATAGCCCTATTACTTCAATAAAAGTCAACCGTAAATATTCTAAAGTAAAATCTATACTGCAATCCGCGACGGTAAAAGTATGCGTAGGCGTAGCATTTAGGTGCCTAACTTAAGCGTAGCATTTACTGGATTTCAGTTCCTCGACCCTGACGTCAATCTTGCGTTTGAGGCCATTACTTTATGAAACTACTGCAGATAAGACCTCGTACATCAAACGTCAGCCAATTATTCTAATTTGCCAAATTTTCACGTTCAATAGATTCTTTTCCTAATTTTTATTTTTTAAATAAATTCATTACAAAGAAAAATGGGTTAAACCAGCT